ATTTTATATTTTATATTTTATATTTTATATTTTATATTTTATATTTTATATTTTATATTTTATATTTTATATTTTATAAATAATTCACGCTCTTGAGGATAAAATTGTGAAACTTGGAAGCTCAACAGAGAATTTTCATATGTATTAAATATCATAGGAAGCATTGTATTTTGAATATTCTGTGTAATTCTGCACTTTAAAATGAACGAAAATCCGTAGTCTAGTCGTCAGTGATAGTCGAATTGAAGAAGATGAAGAAATTCTGCCGTGTTACAGCCAATCGTGAATATTGTTCCTACGTGGAATTCCAAAATGCTTCGTTACCTTACTCTGACGTCGTTTTGATGAGCTTTGATGAAAAGCAGGTAATTTTACTGTCTTATATATATATATATATATATATATATATATATATATATATAGTTCATAACAATTAGCGCCATAAGTTATTCCTAATTTATCGTTCTTAACTTTAAAGATCGTTAAATCACTTTCTCAAGAGACGCTGCCATTATTTTTATCCTTCAGTAAATTAAATTTACAAATAATTTACTAGTGAACAATTCAAAGATTCAATATCATAATTATCAAAAAAAAAAAAAAAAAACGTTGGTCTCTTTCCCCCTACTTTCAGTCGATTATTTTTAACGTTAATTAAATATCAAATCAAAAAATAATATTCATATTACTTTCGTTTCGTCTTAATTCTGTACAGTGCAAGAGAAGATGCGACTCGAGCGTGGATGGTTTCATCTGTCGAGGATACACGTTTGACAATTCGTCGGGTGATGGAGTCTGTCTATTGCATTCGGAAGACACCACCAGCCTCGGTGTCAGCTCGTTGATCGACACAGCGAACGTGGTCTACAAAGAACGAGAACCATGTTTAGATTGTATGTTTTCTTTTTCTTTCTTTTCTTTTTTACCTGCGTTCGACGATTTCGCAGTTTTAATGTTTCTGATGGTTAGTGAGGGTGCGATGCAACGTTTCGACGATGACGATCGAGTTGAGAACGAACGACGCGTTCTTCGGCCGAATATACTCGAATGGACACGCTGATAGCTGCGGTGTACAAGGTACGGGAAGTAATCGGACGATATTGACGTTGCCCATTCCGTCAGCGGATAAAGTTCAGGAGGGAACACTTCGTTGCGGCTTGAACCCTGCTTTTTCTGTCGACAATCGAAATCGGTAAGATATTGCGAGCGATAACGATACGCCTCGACATTTAAATCAATGAGGAGTTAAAAATTACATTTTAAGCATTCACGTTTAACAATTTCAAAGGATCGATTAGTACAACTGCTTGTATAATCAGTCCCTATTAATTTTCCAACAAAGACCAATGCGTTTAACTACCTTTGTCATTTTCCATATAATGAAAAAGAAAATAACAAAAATATTATTATATCGTAGATCACGGCCACTGGTTTGGGCAACGATTGTCATACAATTCAATCCGATTGTTCAAAGACTGGGCGACCAGTCAGTCAAAGTCGGATGTTCGTTGAGCAATGAAACACCTCCGCAACCGGAAAACATCACCGTCCATTCCAGTTTCAGTTTCCTCGATCCAAAGTGAGAGAACCATTCTTTGTTTTTTCGTCTCCTTTCACCGAGCGCGCGAAATTCACGATACGCCATCTTCTGTTCCCTGTATTATTTAGCGCAGGAGTACCGCCGATCTCGTCAACGATCGTCAACACGTCCTCGCAAGTGCCGACAGTCACCATGAGGATACTGGACGAGAACTTGGGACAGACTATGGTCACGCATTTGGGACAGAAGCTCATTCTAAAAATTCAACTGAGTCCAGCAAATGGTAATATTTCTGCGCTGAACTTCTTCGTCATTCTTTTCTGACATACATTTCGTAAATAACAAATACAAAATCAATATATCTTGTAAGCAAGGACGAATGGGATATATGTTGCTTTCTTTCTCATTATTTTAAGTGTACAATAAAAAAATTTCTTACGTAAAGAGAACAATGTTTGTCTTGACACAAGATGTTCTAAATTTACAGATTCTTTCCTTTAGATAAAGAATACTTTTTTCTACAAAATAGAAAGATAAAAAAAAAACTCTTCTTAGTTTTCGCGAAATTGGCAAAATCCTTTTAATTAATTATCTTCAGACACAAACACTCTGATATTTTCTTATTCAGAATATTCGAAATGGTCAATGATCAAATGAAACAAAAGTCCACTAAAATTCATATTTTAGGAAATATCTCTATTTTTAAATGCACCATTGCACCCACGAAACAAGCAAAATTATAGGAAGCTGAACACTTTCTAACCCGAAAGAAAAAGTATAATTTTCGTTGATAATTTTCCATTGTAGGTCTTTATGACATCGCTGCCGGACATCTCGTAGCAAGTAGCGCTTCTGGCAATGCCACTCTTCAGCTGTTGGACGAACTTGGATGTCCAGTCAATCCAGCCATGTTCCCGGTTCTCTCGAAGGATCCAGCCGATGGCCGTTCCCTAATTGCAACCTTCACAGCTTTCAAATTTCCCGATAGTCAGCTAGTCCGTTTCAACGTGATCGTTCGATTCTGTTTAGACAAGTGCATGCCGGTGAGTTAGACACATGCTCACGTTTCATCATCTCGATTTTATCCTTCGATCATGTATACTGTCGATTGTCAGCATAAGATGAAGACACCCGTTATATTACAATTATTGGGAAATTCTAAGAAATTTTATTTTACAGCATAAAACACGTATAATGAAAAGCATAATCAATGACAATAGAAAACTATTCAAATTCAAACTGTTACAACTTTATAAGAAAAGAAATCATATAACGATTCATTTAAAATCGTCTGTACTTTGAACTTTGGAATTTTAGGTTTAGATGGCGAAACGTTATAGTTTCTTCAATTTGTCGTTTAACCATGATATTGAAAATTCAGTAAAATGATTAAAAAGAATCGTACAGCAAATTCTCTTCTGTAAAGAGAAGAATTTATTTCTGAAAAATAATCATGAGTCTAGTCGCGATAGAAACTTTTCGTTTTTAAGGATACTTGAACTTTTACACTTCATCTGTCGTATGATGCAAAATCATCTTCAAAAGAAACGGAGTGAGACCTGTCTATGGAGGCTCTATATTTAAAATGAGATCAAAACAAGAGAGAAAAACAAGATGGATTGTTATATAATTTTTGTTAACGAAACAGTTTAAATTATCGACAATTTTTTTTATTATTGTTGGTTCAATAATGCTTTTCATTACATGCAGAAAATAAAAGTAACAAGGTGTAATAATAATTTGACTTGTAATAAATATCATATAAAATTTTCTGATACCTATGATCGGCTATTACACTATCGTTCATAAGTATACGAATATTTTTGAGCAGTAGTGTACAGTCACGATTACCTCAAAGATCAATCCATCATGCATTATGCATTATAGACAATCTGCAATGGTAATAAACTTTCTTATGGAAAAAAGAAACGAGCCAGCGAAACTTGGATCACGCCACCGAGCTATGACACAAAAACAACGCGAATGTTTGGAAATGAAATACCAGAAGAGTTACCGCTAGAATTCTCCATAATTGTGCAAAGTTCCGTCGCCTCTTCGGCTGATCGTCTGTCTTCGAGGGAGAACTCGTCCCCCGATACTGTTTTGATCACGAAAGAAAGTAAGTATTGACATAAATTGACATTATACATCATTATTCAAACATTAACACAAATATATCTCACTGATTTAATAATCTAGTGATCTACGATCTATGATACTCGAATACTTTTTCTTGCAAGTATAGTAACAACATATCTAATCGTTAAAATGAAAAAGAAAAATTCTTTTTAAATACTTCGTATCGAAACCAATGGAAATTTTTTTTTTAAATACGCTTTGTGAAATTGTTAAATGTATAAATATTCGTGGATCATCTTGCTGCTGATTGCAAATTTGGATGTTCCTTTTCTCTCTTTCTGTATTGTACGATGTTTTTCTTCTCCGTAGACCCCGAGGACACGTTGTTCTGTATCGACGCGAATCTCGCCTTGAGTCTGCTGATTTTCCTGTTGATCATTCAAATAGCACTTATCGTTGGCTGTTTATTGACCGTGGCGCAATACAGGCGAACAGCTATACGTGCGGAAGAAGAGAGAGCGAGTATCCTGGCCAGGCATCTCTATGGTATTCACGGAGGAAACTTTGATATTGAGCGAAGAGTTAGATGGGCCGATCACAATCCTTCCACCTCATCTCGTGACTGACTCAATCTAATTGCATTATTCGTATAGCTATATTTCTCTTTTTTTTTTTTCATGTTAATCGGTTTCTTAACGATGATCGTGATTCAACGGATGGAAGGAAAGGACGTGAGACTCAAGAACAAAAAAAGTGATTATTTTCCATGAAACTTGTATTAAAACCGAAGCAACGACGAACAGACAATTACATAACTACGTAGTAAACCAGTCTTCTCGTGTGAATCGAATCCGCGATTCGCGTATCAATATTCTCAATCGGTATTACGCCGTCATTAAGCATTATCTTCCTCTTATTTTCGAAGTCATGCAACGCCCAACATACTTCAACGTGACATCTGTAAACAGAGAACAAAACAAAGAGTAATAGAATTGTCATTGGTCAAGGAACGAGATGGAAACTTACGCGTTCGTAAGTATCGCAGGATACTTATTAATTTGAAACATTTTAAAACAGATCTATACGTAATAAAAACTTTCGCAATTTAATAAGAAATAACATATGGGTGTTGATATATGCCGATTATTCCTCACCTCTTCCACATGCCGAGGCACAGTTTAATCGACCTGGATTGTCGTACTCAACGTTGTCCGAGCCACACACTGGATTATATTCAGGAGTTGCCTGAAAATTTTACCATCTTCTCATCTCATACAAATCGCACTTTATTTTCGTATAAATGTTCACTTTTCTTCAATTCAATCGAAGATAAACGCAGCACTGTTCATAATCATTAACCGCGTATTAAAATGTTTTGTCTATCATTTTGATACAAGATGAGATTGAGGATCTTGGTAACAACCTGTGCAGTATAAATTTTTTTAAAAGACAGGCACGAGAATCTCAAAAAAAAAAAAAATAGAAAGACTCTAGAGAGGACATTTTAACTGAGGGAAATATCTTTCTGCATTGTTTGGACGTAAATCAGAATATTTAACATTTATGAGAAATCCCAATCAAACTCGAGGATGATACGTCATTTAAAAGATACACAAAATCGGTATGATAATAAAAAATAGCCGAGATCTTCGATCATTTTTTAACAATTTTTCTACAATGAAGGAGAGAAAGGGAGAGAAAGATCGAAATCGAGAATTTTCATGACTCACCGGACACCTTGTTACACACTGGTTGTACTGAGAGTCGTTCGGTGCAGCCGTTGTTGTCGCGATTGTCGTAACTGTTGCAGAATCAATACGGGTTGTGGAACCTCCCGGTCTGTTTGCCGGTCCATCGAAAACGAATCCATCCACCACGAACGTCTCGCGGGTCGTCTGAATTTCAACGTTGTTACCAGCCAGCCCGTCATTCTTCATACAAACCAATCGCAATTAATTAACTGATCAAATCGAACAAAACGTTTCAACGATAAAACAATAAAACTTCTCTTACCTGTGGAAAGGCGATCGCTTCTCCACTGCACGATACAATAGCTACGCAACATACATTTCAATTATCAGAATGACAAATTGATACAAATCTCTACGGTGCATTTATTTTGCGAAAAATACTTACTTAACAGTAGCCAAAATTGCCACATTTCGATTAGTCACTCCTTTTCTATTTCGTAAATTTCTACTTCTCTAATTTTCCTCTTCTTTCCTCTGTCTCCCTGCAATTTGTGCTCATGCACGAGATCGCGGGTTTACTGAAACTTACTAAAGTCGTCCTCGTACTTTTATAGCTGATTGTGAGTCAAGAGATTGGCGAACGATGACCACATCATTATTATCAGCCAACCAGAAAGAATCAATGATTACACTTAAAACTCCTCGCGCGAACTAAGTACTGCAGAAATACTGGATTTTCCTGTTCTGTCAGTTTTTTTTTTTTTTTTCAACGTTTTTAAAAGTGGAATAAATAAACAGTAAGAAAAGCCAATTTTTCCTACATCAAATTATCAATTCGTATCTAGTCCTCTTAAGCGGAGCAAAAATAAATGACACATTCACATTTTTAAATGTTTATATAAGTATCATGCACAATTAGATCGCCACGTCTGGAAATTCCATTTTTCATGAGATATATTTATTATTGTCAAAAAATTCGTTTCAATCACTGGTATTATTCCTGATTTCCAATGTAAATCAATAATCCAAAAATAAAAAAAATAAAATAAAATTACGCGTTATAATAATAAGTATACTATAATAATAATATACTATAATAAAGTAATAAGTATATTATAATAATATTATAATAATAAGTATATTATAATAATATATTATAATAAGGTAACAGTTTATTTGTACATACTAATAATGTACAATTTGTCTACATAATATTTGCATGAAATACAATGTCGACTAAATATTATATTAAAATTTCTTTTAACATAAACATGATATAATCTGTAATTTACATCATTTCTTTTATTATATGTAATATTCATATACCGGGATATTTTAATTGCAATTTTACATATACGAAAGACATCAGACATCAGTATAGAACTGATGAAAAATGAATCATATCAGTAAAAAAATGCTCAATACTTAAGTACAACACAAAGGCGTTGTTACTACAACGTGCTACTTGCAATTCCTAACTTTCTTTTCTATCACCAATCTCGTTTAAGGAGATTAGCTTTAATTCTTATTAAAACGAATGCATTCATTCGAACCCTCGTTTAATTTTCCTTATGAATACTATATTAACATGTATGTTACAAAATCATATGCATTTTTTGTTCCATTTTCTATTGTTAGTATCGTTCTTAACAACAATTAATCATTATCAAAAGAAAACATATATTCACAATTTTTTTATTTTCTGATCTCAACCTTATTCGCTTTAAATTTAATGATACACCCGCACTATAATATTGCCATGTTCGCACCATTTAGCATCGTCAATAATTGCTAACACAAAAATGTCGTATATAAATCTTAAAAATCAAATATGAACTGGCAGTTCACAGGAATGACAACGTGATAAAATATCACATGGAACCATCGCACTAAAATTGTTTAAATAAAAATTTCTTTCGCCTCTGGTACTTCATCAACAATGAATCTTATTTGATCAAATATGAAAATGAATTTAGACGATGCTGAATAATTATTAAAGATTTCATCCTGTTCATCACTCGGTCGATTTGCAGGAATTATCTTCCGATTTATTTTGAAACTGTTTTTTTGACTTTCATTGTTTCTAATCACCAAATATACTTTAGATTATTGTTCACATTAGTAATGTCGTTCGATTTATGACTGTTCAGGTTGGTACGCAGCATAAATCGTTCCGGCTCTTTTCTTTGCTAAATCTGTTGCCTTTTTAGCAGCATCCTTTACTTTCTCCGCTTTACCTTGTAACGAATATTGAAAGTCTTCTGCGAGACTAGTTTTTATTCCTTCATCAATCTAAAAAAAAGAACAAAGAAATATACAAATATACATTTTTTTCCTTTCGACATTTAGATTATTTATTATACACATTGCTCTTACTAGATGAGCAAAACCCATTTGAGAAAGTGATGGATTCATATATTGTGCTGTATGTGGAAACATGTGTGCTAAAACATAGTTGAACCCATTATACATCAAAGTACAATTCTTTTTAAATCTATCCAATCCAAATGCTTGAATAGCTCTACTAAATCCAAATACTTGACTATCGATCCAGGCTGATCTTTTTGCAACTGTCCAATTAGGATTTTCTTCATATACCTTATAAACAACTTTCTCCACAATGCTCTATAAAAACAGAAAACTATAAGTAGTTGCAATACAATATCCCCAACAACTTTACTACGCATACTATGGCTATAAACAAAAATAAATTACCATAACTTTAGTGTAACCTAAATTTCTTGTGTATGTTGTCAAAGTTTTTGTTTTGGGATCCACTGTGCTCTCTTCAATAATTTTTATAACGTTTTTACTAATAAATCTCTCTCCCCACTTTGGTACTCTGTTAGTTTTTGTCAGAAGTCTTGTAGTATGTAATATGCCATTTTTAACCTTTCTTGATACAGTATCTTCCGTAAGAACATGGGTACTAAGAAAATAATTTGAACCATTCATTAATTTACAAATATTTATTGGTAAAAAAATAATATAAGTTTATATATTGATAAAAAAATAATATAAGTTTATATAATTCATAATTATAAATCTGATACCTGCCTGTTGGGGTTTGGATATCTCTGCCAAAATGCATGAGCTACTTGATTCCAGTTAAACTGAAAAACTGTACTATTCTCATAGTACTTCATCTTGTTGACCAATCTAATTTATATTGTCTAAAGAAAATTACATCCAAAAAATATCTTTGCAAAATGCAAACTCAATCATATATCAATAATTTTTAATTTTAACTTTAATTTCTTAATTTCTTAATTTTTAATTCTTTAATCTGAAACCAAACATTACATGTATATGTACACCTGAGACATCTTATTAAATTAAAATAATTATACAATTTTAAAATAACATAAAAAATAATAGTATAAAAAGGAATGAAGAAAAGAAAATCTAAAAAGTATGAAAAAAACATTAATATACTTAAATGAACTTTCTCAGTTACTCAAATTAACATAACGACTTACTAAAATATACACAAAATAATAATAAAATATCTTGCGAATGAAAAGAAATTCAACGCTTATGCAATGATATTAATCCATGATGAATCCATTAATGAATATTCACACACGTATTATAAAAGTCAATCAATATTGTACATATAAAAATCAAAAACGAGTTTAAAAGCAAAAGATAATTTCCCAATGTTTCCGCACATTTATATAATTTTATTAATTTTACATTAAAAATCATCCGGTCAAACGAAAATGAAATTACATAACCCCTATTTATATTTGAAAATCACCAGCCGCTTTATGCACTTGAATTATCTATTATCACTTAAGTTGCATTGATTAAGATTTGCAATATATCCAAAATATCACAAAAGTTATAAATATATGTTAATCACTAAAATTTGATTGAAGAGTTACAAAGGTATACCAGAAAAATCAATCCATTCCGACAAAGAATGTACTTTCATTTGAAACTTTATTGGACACACATCGCTTTTTCTTCTACAGCTATATTGATATTCGTACAAAAGAACTAACGCAAAATTCATAACATAGTTATATTACTTACAATGCTAATAAATTATATTTCTTTCATATCAAATTGTAAGTTCATTGAGTCATGTAACTAGCAAAACACGACTTATTCCACTGTCGATACTGTGTTTTTTATGATCCATATATGTTCACACACGTGCAAATGTACACATATACACACTGTAGATCAGTATAGACAACTTAAAATAAACGAACAAACAAACTAATTGTTTGTTTAATTTCAGAAAAATAGAATTTCTATAGAAATAAGCATATTTAAAGGTAGAAATTATTTCATTTAAAAACTTATTACTCTACTAATAAAGGGAATTTAAACGTATGTATCGCGTACTATTTTTCAGTATGAAATGTGGTAGGACCGTAACAATTTGAAAGACCAACGGATTACCGATTTCTATTGTTATGCTGTAAAATTAAAAATCAATTGATTACTATTTTCATGTTGTTTACAAACAACTTGGAGATACGAGGTCAGGCCGATCATCATTGATTGTGTAAGAAACAAAAAGTTCAAAAATGCCTATAAAGACAAAGCAAATTAAAGGGATATTAATACCCATAGAAGAACAAGTAAGAGAAATATAGCAGAACAAGTAGCAGAAATATAGCTCTATTGTTTTCTATATTGTTCAGTTTCTTAAAAAGTAACAAAGTTGTAACATATTCTATATTTTAGGTAAATAAATTAAAAGAACTGATAAATACTAACCCTCTTACTGCAAATAAGTCTACATCAAGGAATTTGGCACTTTTCGAACACTTGGTATATTTAGGAGAAAAATTTGATACCCTGTCAAAAGAAGAAATTAGTGATTATGAAGAAATGGAATCAAAGATCACTAATATCGTAAAAGAATTTTGTACACTGCAATATATGGATGAATCTGTATGTTGAAATAGAATACACACTGATTCATTGTCAACTATTCTAAAAAAATTTCTTTCCAGATTGAAAGTGTAGACAAGCAAATGGCAGATCAAGTTTTGTCCACTGTATTAGATAAATTCAAGTTAGCTCTTGAAACTCTAGAAAAATTGGAATGTTTGCCATTGAAACAAAGATTGACTGATTGCTTAGATTACATCAGGGAAATGGGTCAAGCCAATGAAATTGAACATTTTCAGAATATTAAGGTATAAAAGATACAAGTACATAACATTCTGTATTATTCTTTACAATTATCCTAATCATATTATATTACCAGGAATTGGGCACTTCCATTTTGGAATTGCTTCGGCCATTACAAATATATAGAAAAAGCTTAGTATGTCAATCATTAGGTGAAAAGATTATACTGTGTTTGTGTCAATTGTGTGCGGCATTTAAACTGTTAGTGCAATTAGTACAAGAGCAACACCGGCTAAACGCATCAATCTATGTAATGTTTTATGATCTCTACATTTTAAAAGCACAAGCAAGCTTACTCTAATAGGACACTTATGCTTTTATTCGCATAGAATTGCAAGAAATATGTCTGTGAAAGACTCTGCTTTTGCTTGAAGATGATAATAGAAATATTGGATGTATCAGATTCATTACCTGAGGATGAAGCATTTGAACAAGAAAATCATTTTGTTTACAGGTAATCTAATTGACTAATTTTAATTTTCAAAGACTACTTCACATTTTATTTTACATTTTACATTTAGGATGGACTTGGTATTGGATATTTTATCGGAAATGCAAAATAAATCACAACAAGATCAAATAGTAGAATGCAAAGAGTTATGGTTTAGAATAGAAGATGTATTTTCTTATGCAATGGCAATTGCACAAGTTTGCAAGCCTTGCAATTTTAAAGCAATAACTGGAACTTGTCAGTCGATTATATCAGAATATGAGAATTTAAAATTCCAATTAACGTCCGAATCGTCTGATACAGCACTGAATAATTTGTTCATGAATAGTTTGACTGACGCACTTTATCGATTAGAACGAAAAATTAATGTGTCAGTATTGAATCTTGTCATGGAAGTTTTCAGTGATCCCTTTCATGCTCTGAGAAAGCTTGTTACGATCTGTGGCAATTCATTAAATGCTAAAAAGCGATCTAAAAACGATTTATCCAATGCTATAGAAGATTTTGATCAAATTATAGACAAATCCATGCAAATTGGATTATTTGCTATCGCCTCTTGTAAAGATAAAAATCGTAAGTCAAGTTCTATTAGTTAATACGAAATTCACATCTGTGTTTGGGTACTTATTCATTATTGTTTTACTTTGTATTATCCTAGGGATTAATCAAATACGAAATTGTTTGGCTAGTCTTGAATCTTTGGAAACCGAATTAATTTCTGCTATTACTACATTTTACCTACATCCAGAGAGTAAAGAAATGCGAGCAAATGTAAAGCTGTTGACTGGACAATGGCAATTAGAAGTCAATAAATTGCATGATACAATTAATTTGGTTATGGATTCGGGTGCTTATTGTCAGGTATTCTATCATAGATATGCACATATAGTATTGAAAATACACACTTAAGAAAACATGTTTATGCCATTTGTTATCATTTAGGTAGTATTAGACGATCTTCAGGATCGTATTTCAGTAATGTCAAATTGTCTTGACAATAGGAAACCAGTTACTCAAGCACAAGTACAAAGTGTCGTACTTCGATCCTTATCGCTCTCCCGGCAAATCACTATCACCATAAACGATATTGGAAGCGATGCTGTTGAAAGACAAACAATAATGATGATTAGAGAATTAAAAGCCGGTAAGTATTTATTATGAAATGTTTAAGTTCATCTTTTATTAAATGAAACTCTGTAAATTAAATGTTTTTATTATTTTGAAGCAATATTCGAGGCTGATGCTGCTTCGAAAAGTCTGTTAGTAGAGAATGCTACAGAACCACAGCAATTGCGAGTGATAAAACGATGTGAACTGATCTTAAATGTAGTAAAACGATTACATCCCGCTTTAGTTGCTATTATGAATAATACAACGTTGATGAATACCAGTTACGGAAAAAATAGTAAGGGACAGGGTGACTCTATTCACGGTGCGTTAGCCTCTTTCTAGTTATTAATTTTATTATTATACAGCGTGTTTCGATATATTTCTTTTCTCTGTTAGATGTAAGTAACAAATTTGCATCCACGATTTATGGATTATTCAACGATCATCATCGTCATCAGAAACCTTTAGTCTATATAAGAACTCCTTATACAGGTAAGAATATTATTGTACGAATACATACCATTAATTTTCCTATATGTTTTACTATCGTCTTGTGGTACATCTTTTTAGTAAGCAGTTGCAAATCGCCTCTATCTATACAGACTGCGAATAGTGTTTCTAGAAAACAATTGAATTTATCCTGTTTAATACCCTATATTAAAATAGGACGCGAAATGCGTACCGAACGTTCGGTCATGTATAAAACACCAAACAGAAATGACTCTCTTAATCGGTCCTTAACAGACACTAAGTTAAAATCACGCAATTTAACTAGCATCAGGCAACATCTTTTTAGCAGAGATAGTATTAGTTCTCATGATGATATTTGTTTGTCTGAGGAGAGTATAAATTTAACAGGTAATGTAGTAGTACATGAATACAAAAATATCTTTAGTTTAATTAATCCTTAATATTGTTGGCATAATAAAATTTCCAGGCATTTTTGAGAGATTTGTGTTTTCTTGTACAAATTTATCCGCAACTTCATCGAAGTCTCATGTTGAGAAAACGCAACATGATACCGCTGAAGATAAAAAGTCTGTTAGATGTTTAACAGAATCGTTAGTTGAATGCATCGAAACGCAGTCGGAAATTACAACTGGTAAAATGGATCAATGTTCTGCGATCGGTGGAGGTGACGGACCATCAATTGTGGATATACCGAAAACTTACGACGATACTCAACGTTTGAGTAAAAATACAAAGATAACACAAGAACGATTATTTGGAGATTAAATATTGCCATTATGAATTACGTTGGTATAAATGAATATTGATCTTCATTGAATTTAGATATAGACTAAAAAACACAAGGTTCGCTATTAAAATAATGTCTTAAAGTAATTTCTGTTAAACACCATACTTTCAGAACAAGAGAATGAGAAAGACAGAAAGAGAAAGAGAGAGAGAGAGAGAGAGAGAAATAGATATAAGTTTTACTTATACCTAAGTTCTATTTCAATGTTTTTCATAAATTTTAAGATTTATAAAATTTTCATTAATAAAAGAAAATGTTTTTGAATTAACCCGCCTTTTAATTTCGATTACTAGTCAATCTCGATTGTTACTTAATCACGAACTATATGTCATATCGAGATCGTCCACGCGATCTATCGTATCTCGCAATTCTCGTTTGTAAAACGAGTGTATGTGTGAAGTAAATCGAGATATTCACGTGATTCACATTTACAGTAGTAAAGTGATTACTTGGTGGGTTCAACCCATTTTTAAAAGATATAAAGAAATTATTTATTACAAAGATAATGGGAGCGTCATTATTACCAATTTTATTTTTTACATTTTTGTGGGGAATAGTAGGAATTGTCTTACCAATTTTTGTTCCCAAAGGTACAAATCGTGGGTATGTGTTTTGTCACAATTGAAAAATATTCTGTGCAAATATTCTAAGTGTTATTGTTTTTATTTAAAGAAAAACATAAAAAGTTAGCTTAGTTAACAACCACAATCTTGCCTCTTTCCTTGCAGAATTCTTCAGGTTATGCTTATATTGACAGCATTTACATGTTGGTTGTTGTAAGTTGAAGATAAATGTCAAAATATTTTATGAAATTTGTTAAATACCATACAACTTGTTATTTGTTTTTACAGCTGGTTATGTTGTTACATGGCACAAATGAACCCTTTAATTGGTCCAAAATTATCCAAATTTACAATTCTTATGATGGCACGAGAATGGGTAATCATATTTTCTTATTGCAATAATACCATTACTTATACAATTATTATAAACTACTCTTATAACAAATGTGTTTGTTACAGAGTCAAGTCCAGTTTGATTCAACAGTAGAATAATTATAGAGACAATAAAGAATTTATTATAGGTATATGAAATCGTCTCCAAAAAGTTGTATGACTAATGAAATACAATGAAAAACAAATTCAAATATTTGTTAATATCGGATATCTTGGAAATATTGCATCAAGCATTAACATACATTCTGATAAATTGAATTAATATATATTTTATAACAATTGTATATTTTCATTTAATGTAAAATATTGTTTTAGTGTAATGTCATATTGTAAAAGGAATAGTGTATATTATGTATCAGTGATAATAGTGATGATAACAACAATACAATAAGAATAAAACAATTCATGTTTAAATAAAGTTTTGTCAAATATTATTTATTCATTAGATGCATTGTTTCATTTTATTTTATCTTTTTTTTATTTGATCCTTAGCTTCTCATACAAGATTGATATTAATTTTACACATTTTATATTAATAAATAAAAGAATCGATATCACATATGAAAATAATGTGTGTGTTGTGTGTTATGTGAGAAGCACGCGCGCACGTACACCCATATATACATTCTTATATGTGAATACGAAAGGTTATAACAGTGTACGCCCTTGTTTGTGTGATTCGTGCATAAAGCAAAAGTGACAAGTGACGCGATAGTACCAAGAAAAACAATGGAGGCGTGTAATGTCGTTGAACGGGAAGTTGACAAGATTTTATTAAAATTTGGAGTAGTAAACGAACATGCAGAGACAGTACTGCAAGATCTAATAAATCATATTGAATCTTTGAAAAAGGAATTTGCAGAAGGTAAACTGAAAACTTTCCTTCTACTTACAATGTCATCATTCGTTGACAATCTATGAATAAAAAAAATTACATCTTTTGGAAATTGTAGTATTGTTAGTAAATGTAAAAAAATGGAAGTAAGTTTATAAGATTCTAAATTTTTTACGGCAGACAGATCTGGAGAAACTTAACCTGAAAGATATTTATGTTATCCATTTTCTTGTCGTATTGCCCTATCAAATTCTAACCTCTCTTATCTTACAGCTGTTATTTAGAATCTTTCTTTATTCAAAATATTTCTTAATAATTTTGAATAATTTTTTACGTAATTTTAATTCACATAATACTTTAATGGATTTTAATCTTGTACTCACTATTAAAACAACGTTTCATTTGAAAGAATTGAGTTCTTTATTCACTAGCACCAGCTAATCATGAGTTAACACCGGGACAAGTGCAAATACTAAAAGAGGCAATGAAAAAAGTTTGTGAAACTGTACATCGTTTAACCACAGAACACAGAGAGCTACATGGTTCTGTTTCAAAAGTAGGAAAAGCAATTGACAGAAATTTCACTGCAGATTTTGCAAGTACTAGTAGAGAAGATGTTTTCTCAGGGCCAGAAAAATCACACCTTCTAAATCAAGTTATTTGCCAACATTTTTATCGTCATGGTATGTTAGATATTGCAACAGAATTAGCAGTGGTAAGTCTATAATGTAATGTATTTAATCTAATAAACTGTTAAAATAAGAATAAAAATGTACATAATAGATCTGTTGTTATAGGAAGCTGGAATTAAAACAGATGAAGACACAAAAGAGCCATTTACAGAATTAAATTATATACTGGATTGTTTAAAGCAAAGAAATCTAGAACCAGCACTTGACTGGGCCAAAAAACACAAGGAGGCACTTTTAGCACAAGTATATACATCACCATTACTCGAATAACATTTTGGTACAAATGTATCTGACATTAAACATTGTTTGTAGAATTCGTCTCTCGAATTTAAGCTTCATAGGTTACATTTTATAAGACTGATTCAACAAGGACCTAGCAAACAAACTGAAGCAATAACTTATGCTCGTCAAAATCTTACGCAATATGTCGGGCGATACGGAAAAGAAGTGCAAGCTTTAATGGGCACACTACTTTATTTACCAAATGGAATACAATCTTCTCCTTACAGTCATTTATTGGATCCTACATTATGGTTAGATATTCACGACGTATTCACAAGAGAAGCTTGCACGTTATTTGGTTTAAGCGTAGATAGTCCTTTATCTGTATGGTATGTTTACCCGTCATTTTTTATGTCATCAAACACAAAAATAAATACATACATGATAAAAACTCATAACGTTATGTTTTAGCATTAACGCAGGGTGCGCTGCTTTACCAACACTTTTAAATATTAAACAAGTTATGCAACAAAGACAAGTGAATACTGTTTGGAATGGAAAAGACGAATTACCTGTAAGCAAAATAAATAGTAAATAGGAAGGATAAATGACAGAGAATATTACTTAATCAATATTTTTTTTGACAGATCGAAATAGATCTCGGCAAAGACGGTCGTTATCATTCAGTTTTCGCATGCCCAATCTTGAGGCAACAAAGTACAGAGAATAATCCACCAATGAAATTAGTCTGTGGTCACGTTATTTCAAGAGATGCGTTAAATAAACTTACAAATGCAAATAAGTATGTATTTTAATAAAAAGCCGAATATTAAATTGAAGATTAAAATCATTTAGGAAAAAGATAACAAAACCCAAGGAAGATTGATAAACTACAAATTGAATTTTGTTTTTCAGATTAAAATGCCCATATTGCCCAGTAGAACAAAATCCAGAAGATGCTAGACTTATATATTTTTAGATTACTGTGATACAATAATATATAATGCTTAAGTTAACGGGGAAGATCCATATACTTAGGTCGAATCATCGTATGTCGCGATTTGGTAATCATTTTTTATTATTTCGCTTAATAAACTGATTTCTAATTTTGTCATTGAAGTGTAAAAATGATACATTAACTCATTCTACTATGAAAAAGTGATAGATCTTTGATAATTATTTCAGTGATGATGATTAACACTATTTCATTATTTTAATTCAACGTTGCGTGAAAATGTGTTAATTCAATTGTAATTATTTGAGAAATGAAATATAGATGTAAATAAATAAATATATAATATGTTTGTATACATATATTTATTTATTTATGTTTATGCCGTAAATATAGGTATGCACGAATGCAATAGTATAATTATAATAATATTAAATAATATGTTTTTGTATATACTGCTGTTGAATGTTAATTATCAATTAAAGTTGTTTGTAATGATAGCTATTAATGAGATAATATGTGAGTTGCATAAAAAGTCGGTGTGTATTAACGCAACCATATTATAATCTTTTCGTTTGTAACGTAGAATCTGACTCATCCGTCGAAGATTATTGCATAGTCGATTATTGATGCGTGTTCTCTAACAAAATATTTTTCTACCCTGGACATCTAAAGAATAAATAAAATATTGTGTATACATGTGTATGAATATATTATACACGCACGCACACACACACGTATCATAATATATTGAAATGTGCAATGCACTATGACCAAAAAAAAAAAAAATATATATATATATTATTTAATCTAACAATCAGAGGATTTATGAAATGTTAATATTCATTTCTAATTTTTCACGTTAAACACGTTTATTTAAATACATATTATTGAACAACATACACATAAATATATCATGCGTTTCAACGACAAATAACGTCGAATAACACTGATTTCATTGAAATAAAGTTAGCTCGTGTTTATAGCGATCTTACAAGATTAAAATTCGAAATATTTGGAGCATCGCGTTCGGATATCGTTGGATGAACGATTTTCAGAGTCGATTCGCGTGCGCGTTCTAATTCCCTCCCGTACGTAATATTTTCCTTTCGTAAATACATGCTTTTGTTTTTACCTACTTCAAATTCGACTTTGGCAACTTCACACAAATACACACACACATACGCACACACGATACAATTTTCATCGCTTACCAAGAATAAAAAGTACCTTTCTCCTTCTTGAGTCTCGCTGTTTTTTCGACGACTACACAGGCAGATTAAAAATCGGACCCATATACCAGCTGGTTAAATATATATGCATATATGTATATACGTTACAATGACAGGAGGAAGGAAATGTATTCCTATTTTAGTGACTTATATGCCTGCAATGCTGGTTGGAGATAAAATTATGCACACTTAGGTATATGTAAAACGTCTGTTGTTCCGTTCTTGTTCCGTCTAAATTCAACTCTCTTCCAAACAGCATTCAACAATCTTTCGAGCCTGAATGGATCGATCAGGAACGCGTAATTCATCATCAGAGAAAGTTTGATTAAATAACGATAGAAAAAGATCGTTCGTTTCCACGATCTCGTGGTGCCAAGAAACTTACGTTTCATGATATCGCTTATTGTCTGTTTGCAATAGCAGCAATCATTTTTCAATTCATTCGAGAGAGACATAGAGCGCTAAGATAATAACGGCGTTGCAGAAATGTAATAACACATCGGATGGATTAATTATATATCATGCTCGAGGTTCGCAACCGTCGCGCGACAAAATCCTTCGTATCGGTGAAATTATAATCTAGGAGAAAGAATGTAGAAATTAAAAAGCTGGCAAATCGTTGTCGATTAACAACGTTGACACTCCGCGAGTGTTAACTACATTCCGTTATAATTGTTCCTTAAATACAACACGTACGTTCTCTATATTTACAGAAATTTAAAGAATCCTTAACGAGAATATATATCCCATTGTAACATTGATACAGATAATTTGATAAACGGTATATAGTAATGCAAGTGATGGTAATTCGTCGTTTCTCATAGCTCTTTTTCCGCATGCAGTCCTCTAGCTCGTTACATTCGGTTCTGGAAATCGCTCGTGATCTCGATCCACGCCCGCGAACACGATGCCCCTACTCTGTCTTCTCTTCCCCTTAAATACGCTCGATCGTGACAAACGTTCGCGATGAATTTGCAAATCGAATTGACTCGCGTTTCTTATCGGGAGTAGGTCGACGTTCGCGTGACAACGTAACGCAACCTCGAAAATTCACCGAATTCGCGGAGGAAAGCTGTCTCTTACGCCAACTACATACATACATGTATATATTATATATATAAATATATAGAGAGAGAGAAGTCGACATTCCAGCAATGTCTTTCATCGAATTCAATGCCTTTTTCATACATATTTCATCTTGTCGTAACCCCTCTACTACATACAGTATTATATATTAACATAATACATATTATACAGATTTAACAACATTACGAGTTCAAACGTTCTACAACACTACTACAGAGATATAATATAACATTTATTCCGTGTATTCTTATTGAAAAATATGTACGTATCACGAAATTCAATTGTATCAATCTCGCGCTCGAGATTCACTAATAAGCAATGACAATCAACGACACGATCCGTTTTTTCCTTTCTTTCTTTTTTTTTTTTGTCTTTTTTTTCTTGTAAATTTCCGTGCGCATTCACAGTAGCTTAGAATCTAAAGACACGTATATTTCTTCTAGCTTTTGTTTTCAATTAACAATTAATCTCATGTTTTTCCACGATCAAACAACAAGTGTACAATGATCAACGAGCTACAGTATATTTTATAGCAATATACATAAACGATATACGTTTTATAATTTATTTCTATAGATATGTTCTATCTATAACTAATATATACTGTACGTGCACATGTATCTATGGGGTGGTATATTGTCTACGTGGAATTATTAGAAGATAGAACGCGTTACGAGAGATGACATATTCGTATATGTTTTTCTATTTTAGTTCAATATCTATTACGAAGACACAATGAGAAAAGAAAAGACTTCTATGAAAGTCGGACAAGAAAAGAAAGCACGAACATTGCACTTGTTGAAGTTTTCCGCCGCGAATTCACATAAAGTTTATGGTGTAATTTGCAAATTCGTCGAACGCTTTGACCGACAATTTTCTTCATTGATTATAGTCTCATTTACTTTGAATATGGTTTCCCTTCGTCATTTAAGGGAATATATTTCTCTGTCGAATAGCGCTATCGTAGCGCGCGAGGGAAATACTCGTCACCGAATCGATCTGACGAGTATTAAAGTATCGCGCGAAGAATCGTGTCAAAATTCGGTCTTTGTCCCAACCCGTTAAATACAAAATCGTGAATCTCCGATCCCCAAGACATTAGACGTCTTATTTCGTGAGTACGTTTGCACAAATGTTAGCAAAAATCGACACCTTTTCTGCTCGATTCAACGATAATTTCCAATTCGATGCAACGCAATTTGGTGAACTCTTCATCGTGCCTGCTCGACATTGTCACATGTACGGTTTCCCTGCAGCCATTCAGGGAATCCAAAGCAGGCGGTTCACCGAGTTGATAATTTGTTCTTCCGGATTAGTAATCTTTGAAACACCGACTATGTCTCGAGCGATTGAAAATTCGCGTCTAGTTTGCATTTTATGGGAAGGGCAACATCCCAGTCGTGGGCATCGTGCGTGTAAGCTACACACGTGTTCGTTATAATCGATGTATCTTTGCCTCGGTGCCTCGATCAATCAGTGTTACGTAAATGCATCGACGTTAGCGTATAAAACGTGTCGTCGACGTCCATTTACGATTCTCTTGAACGCACACACTTATTCTTACGATCTACGAGTGCTACGTATATATATATATATATATATATATATATATATATATATATATACATACAGTTTGCGCTAGACGAAGGGGTAAATAATGTTTTGGTTATCCATAGATTTTCTTAAAACGTTATCAACATAGATACTCTTTCGTGTTACATTTAACTCGTTGTTCCATCTCAAGAATGCAGGAAACGAAATACGCGTTGCTACTCTGTATACTCGGAAATATCTGTCCATTTATTGTTCCTCCTCCTCATTCTGGTACGTTACGTAGCGCACAGACGACTTTTCGCCAATTATCAACGACTAAAAGACGATTCGTTATTAACATACAAGTGAACAAAAGCTCAAATGATAATTTTACGAATCTTTCTACAGATAAAGGGTTTTTACTACCTTCTTCTCTTCTTTCGTTGGTGGTGCTCGCAAGAAATACATCAGTGGTGCGTAAATAAAGTTCAAAATGGCAATACCAAATAACATCCATTCAAAGCCGATACTGTTTACTAACGTACCGCTCAAAGCAGGTCCTGAGTGAAGATTATTTAACAGTGGTTACAATTTGACGGAGAGTTAGTCGATTTGGCTTCAATTGTTAAGTATACTCGTTACATACGTACCAATGGCGAAACCTAAACAGAACGCAACATCTCCGATGGCATACACACTTCCATAGACAGCGGTGTGTCGTATGTCGACTAAATATCCTAATTCTGGCATCATCGAACTATCCACCATACCGATAGCAAATCCCAAGCCTGCATTAGGTACGATCAAATGATCAATACTTCTCGCCAGCGGTATCTGTGAACGCGATGAAACAAAATCGTATCATTGTTCAATGGACGTGTGCGTGCGACAGAAGATAAATACTTACACACATCAAGCAAATACCAATCACGACAAGCCCGATCAACGCAGCTAACCACCTGCAATAAACAGAAAAATGGAAAAATACAAACGACATGATGTGCAAATATATACATGTACAAAGTTACAATTTTTTTGTAAAAGAAAACAAAAGGAAATCTATTTATGGGATTCATTTATGTTTTATGTTTATGAAAGTATGAATCTCCATGAATATCCAGTTACAGTTTACAAATAAGAAAAAAGATCGCTACAGGAAGTGAGAAAAAAAAAAAATTAATTCCGCCCGAACAGGGACTCGAACCCTGGACCCTCAGATTAAAAGTCTGATGCTCTACCGACTGAGCTATCCAGGCGATGGTAATCACGGTCTCGTTTGTCCACTGCAAGTTAAATTGTCACCAAATACAAATTATTGAGAAAACGTGTAACATTCAATGGTAAATATTACGAGAAAGAAATTGATGACTATATTTTTACCCACCTGCCCATTCTGTGTCCGAGCGGCCCGAATAGATTGGTACCGATTAAATAACTGATGCTCGCCGGTAGAAACGTAGCACCTTGTTTCCATCTACTCGCGCCCATCGTGTCCATCATCCAAATAGGAAGACTAGGCTCCAACATAGCGATACCCATATTGGCGAATGTGATGGCACCTGAATGACGATAACACGCGTTAACAGGTTTGTTAATAAGAAAAGGCAATGCAACGTACCAGCGGCCAAAGCGATGTAAGGATCGGTGATCAGAGATTTCAGAGATGGTGGGTCCGCTTCAGTGTACACGACAGACGGTTGAAGCACCAGAAGTTGTAAAACTGGAAGAATGGTACCAGGAGAATTGATGAAACAGAAGCTAAACGCACGATGGAAAGGCACGCGGAGGAGAAGAAAAAAGAAAAATAGACTAACTTCCGTCGCCAAGAGCCAATGCCGAAAGGATTAAGAATGGCGCAGACTTCCCGACGAATTCGTACATCACACCACCAAATGGTGGTCCGATGAGAACACCAAGAGCCAATCCACCGAGTGCGATGCCCATTGCGTTACCGCGTTCCTTGTCATCCTGGTATCTCTCGGCCAGCATTCCCATGCCTATAAACGGATCGGATCGATCGATGGAAAAACTCAAGAAAGGAAAATTGTAGACTACCGATCAGGCACGAACATTATTGAAATAAAATATACGTGCAGAATGACTGTTTAAGTAACATGTCATTTTGTTTTATATTTTCTAGAATAACTGTTCTAGATTTTACTATCTTCTCCGATCTATGCATCTCTTCACCAAGGCTACGTTTAAACCCTCAAGCAATTGACTTTTGTTCTCAATTCAATTCACACACGGTGAATAGCGAATATATATATATCTCGCAGAAATTGCCAAGCAGATAGATTTTTCATTTATCGAGTTTACTTACCTGAAACGCTCGAGCACGAAGAGCCAATTCCTTGAAGCGCTCTTGCCAAGAAAAGAATTCCGTAGCTTCGTCCGAATGCGAATATCAGTGTGGAAAGAAACATAATGATGAAGCCCGTAAACATGGGTATACTGTAACCGATTCTGGAATGAAACGACACAGCGTGATTTAATCAGACAGACAACGAACTTCCTTTCCTAAAGGAGTTCGTTTTTCTGAATTTTTGAAGAGGTAACTCGAGCAACGATGCAAGTTTAAGATTCAACCATTTTCGAATTATTTGAAAATTTGGTATCAGGAGGAGCAACTTTTTGATCGGAGAAACAGAGAGTTTGAATAAATGATGGAATAAATAGATTTCAATATAAAAACAACGATCCTTTTCGACGCTATTTTCAAATAGACAAACTTATTATACAACCTACAACATACACTCGCTTACTTGTGGGTAAGCGGACCGACGATCGGATTTGCCAGCAACTGAACGAAAGCCTTTGAGGCGAACATTATACCAACAGCAACTGTTTCTTGAAGCAACTCACGATGTCGTTGTTCCTTTTCTTCCGGTTCTTCCGCCGCCGAAGGACTCGCATCGCCGCCACTCGTGCTCTCTGCAACTAAAGCGAATCGATTAGGACAGGAAGAACATCTTCAACGGAAAAATCTCTAATAGCAAGAATAACATCACGAGTGTTACGATCCTTAAATTTTCATGTTTCAGTTGCTGATGCCTTCAGTCAACGAAAAGTACGTTAGTACTATAATTTTAACACGAGACATCGTGTACTATATCAATAAAACTTCTATATATATATATAATATAATTTCTTATATATATATATAATATAATTTTATATAATTTTATATAATAATAATATAATTTTATATAATTTTATATAATAATAATATAATTTTATATAATTTTATATAATTTTATATAATAATAATATAATTTTATATAATTTCATATAATAATAATATAATTTTATATAATTTCATATAATAATAATATAATTTTATATAATTTCATATAATTTTAAATATAATATAATATTAATATTATATATTTATAATAGAATAGTATAATATATATATATATATATATCTTGTTCAAAGAGAAGATAAATATTACTGATCGTGAACTGAAAATGACCGTGAGAACGTACCGTTAACTCTTACCAAGCAAACCTGTTGACTCGATGCCAGAAGCCGTACTCGTGTAAAGGAACTCCAATTGAGAATCATTCGGCTTAGTCACGGGGCAAGGACATTTCGGCGTGGTGGTTACACTTGAACTCGTGGACGTGATGACATTGCTGCTCGTTGGTTGAACGCCAGTGAGAGTAGTTCGACGAGAGCCACCCTCTTCGAGATGTTGGCTCAAGGTCGAGTTAGGATGCTTGATATCGTAGAGAAACTCTGGTATAATGGGCACTGCAACACGGCCGTGTATTCATATACGTTCGAATCAGGCGGCATTGAGGACATATAGAGAAAAAAAAAAAGAAAACCAGAGATCAGAGATACGAAAGTAAATATACTACGATAACGTGATGAATTATTCATCGAAACAAATGTGTGGTCTGGCTTCAGTGACAAGGTGTTGCGCAGATGTACTTTACATCTCGGGGGTGTAACTCAGTGGTAGAGTGTCTGCTTCGCATGCTGAAAGTCCTGGGTTCAAATCCCAGCACCTCCAAAAGCCCAGAGTGAATTAATTTTTCTCTGTTTTTTTTTTTTTCTTCTCGCGCGAGTTTTAGGTAGAAACGAATCGAAAGGTGATTCTTCTTTTTCCAACTCCGAAAAAATTCGAATCCTGAACTTTGTGAAGTGTCGAAAACTCTCAAAGTTTTTTTCTCTATTTTCTATTGAAAATTGTTTCCTTTAGAAATGATTAAGAATTCGATTTCTTAAAAAAAATTTTCCCACAAAGGTAATTGTCAAAAATCGTGCCAATTAAGACTGAAAGAGCATAACGTGTCTAAAAACGCAAGCCGAGTCGAGCCGAGCATCGGGTGTCTGGAGCTTGAGAATTTCAAATTGCAAGAATAGCGCGAAATTTTCTAGAAACGAAGAGCTTTCGTCCAGGAAAAGTCCAGAAGCGCGATGCCGAAAATCGGAAGTAAACGCGCGCTGAAGATATGGCGAAGGTTCACGATCGTTTTATCCATCGAAAGCGCGTTTCCATGATTTGTTAGCGCGAGAGCGCCGAGAAGCTGTTTCGTATACGCTACATAAATGTATGACCACTTATCTGGATTGCCGGAACAGCGTCCGCCGTACGTCGTCAGCCGTCCCCTCGCCTATATTTCGCGAGCAGTTTCTAGCTTTCCCAGCTGAGAATCGTATGGAGGTCATATAGACGCGTGCCTCGTGAATTAAACATCGTCCGGGGGCAACGATAAAAGAAAGCCAGATACACCTCGGACCACTATCGGTCAAGAGGGAGAAGCTAAACAACTGGAAAATCCGAATAACCATTCGCTAATGTCCTGTCTATTCTTTAACCATTTCCTTTGGTATTTCCCCAGACAGCTAAGAGAGTACCGTATACATATACTCTTCCGTCGAAAGGATTTCAATCGCGAAAAACTTTGGTTCTTTTCTTTTTTTTTTTTCTTTTTTTTGACGATTTTATAAATGTGAAAAGTTATTTATTTATTTAGGGATACATCGATAATATACTTGCGAGTGCAAGCAAGACATCTCTGTTTTAACTGTGCTTTTATTGCATTTGTGGCGTCCATGCTTTTCGAAATTAATTCGTAGTAGATATATATTTTGTAGATTTCGAGAACTGTTCGTAAGTTCGTTAGAAAGAACAGATCTGTTCGTAAGAAAATCGTAGAGTATATAAAATGTGTGCGGTTGTCTTGCAAGTATTGTTATATTTGCTGATGAATATGGATGTGGTGGGATCACGTGTAATCTAAGGAATTATATAATGTAATATAATGTAATGCTAGAATATCCGAGTAGTGTGGTCGTAAAATAAACTTATCGTTGGACTGAACATCTCCATGTATTTGTAGAAAATTTAAAATTAAAATTATAAACTACTCAAAGCATAATACGTACTTATAATTTTCTATAAAAAAAATGAAAGTCTATAAAAATATAAATTTCTAAAAATCCGCAGTTTAGTTATCATCATTTCTATCGCACACAATCTACGAACATTAAATTCTTCGTACATAAGGTGGATAGATATGAAAAAAGCTTATAACTCAATAATTTGTAAAGCAAAATAATTAAAAACTTAAGATTAAAATAAATTAAGCTATCTCACGATCTGTATTGCAAGAAATATCATCACTATCGATATAATAAACTTTAGCGTCTTTTCGTCTTGATCGATCGGCTATTTAATTTATTAAATTTATAAGAGTGAAACTTTGAATGATCAGAACCAAACTAAAAGCTAGCGGGATAGATAATTCGAGACACGGCCATGCGCTTGAAATACACTTTACAATACATAATGATATACGTTTGAAAGGTCGAAACCAAGCTAAAAGAACTAGTAAGAGATAATTTAAAATACACTCGTTTGATAAAGATATCGACGCGGTAAGTACATAATATTACATGTATATAGTATGCTGGTTGTTTAGCGATAGCGGTGGAACATTGTAGAAATGCAATACCGGCCTCTGTTAATTTCGAGCACATTGTTAACTCGTCGTGAGTACAGGTGAATATTATTTGCTCAGTTTGTCTACAGTGTCTTCTCACTATCGTTGGTTTCCCTCAGTTTCAATCAACGTTGAACTGACAGCGAAACAACAAATCATCGGAAAGTAAGTAATTAATAGAAGTTAAAAATTAGACCGCAGATGTTTATATAAATTCAGATTTTTATAAATAGAGATTCCTTCCACTTAATGGACGTGTATCTTTTTTCTTTTTTTTTTATAAACGGACGAGGATCTGCAATTTGTTAATAATAACGAGCAAAAAAAATTTAACAATCGACAAATTAACGAAAACGAAATCGATGGTTTGCGAATCAACGCTACTTACCAACCGTTGTCAGAAGCATATTGTCTAAGAGTAGAGCGATGGCGACGATTACGAGAACCAACCTTCGTGATTCTCGACATCGTTGCAACCAACCGCTCCATTCTCCACCACCCATCCTTGTTCTATGAATTGATTCGCTCCTCCTTGCTCGTTTGGTAATCTGTAGAAGAAATAATAATTGTTTTTCAAACATCAATATACTAGTCACGATCGTACGAGATTGTACACCTTTTTCCCAGGTAAAGTGATTTATGGAAACGTGTTTAAAAATACGCGAAATGAGACGGTTAAACTTATTGAAAGTAAAGGGTTAGTAGGGTTAATTTTAAAAATATTATATCAACTCTGAGTTATGGTTTCTTCAGGTTCTTATGGTTAGTTCATTCACTCAGCATTTGATCTCTCTCTATAAAAATCAGTTTCTGCTTACAACGCGTCTGAATTGCATTATTGACTTGATCACAGGCAATGTTCTGACTTTCATAATTAGAGTAGATGGAAGCGCTATAGCAAAGTTCTAAAATCGGCCAGTGGCTGAAGTTCACAACTTTCGACAAAAGCGTTAAGCGGAGTCGCCAACTTATCTATGCCATGTCACGCAGTTAGATACTTGTGTCATGAGTTTTGAAATGAATTTCTATTCGTCGTTAGTTATTGAATGACTATAGTAGAAACGAACTGATCCCGAATGATGTTCCTTGTGGTCGCCAACACGCCTCAAATTAATTGTTGCGTTCGTGTAAAATTTCACGCTGACTTGTTTCAAGACACTCGCTATGTCACTTCCCCTTCGAGTATATTTCATTTCTATCGTATTTAGAATCGAAATCTTTTCAGATTTACAGCTACGAACTTTTATGCAATAAAAATTACTAAATTTAATTTAACAATGCAACAATGTTTTTAATTTACATAATTTTTCTAAAAAATTAAAAATTGTGTCAGAGTTTTGAAATGAATTTCTATTCGTCGTTAGTTATTCAATGACTAGAGTAGAAACAAATTGATTCCGAATGATGCTCCTTATGGTCCCCAACACGCCTCAAATTAATTGTTGCGTTCGTGTAAAATTGTGAATTTCACGCTGACCTGTTTCAAGACACTCGCTATGTCACTTCT